CTCCTCAGTTGTGACAACCAACAATGCCTCAGTCATCGCCAAGTGATGCCTGGGGGCAAACTCATCCGTGGTTGAGATTCAGTGCAATAAATACACAGGCTTGAAGGTCAGCAGCAATTCTCCTGAATTGTACTCCCCCCTCCTCCTCTTCCTTCTTCTTCATAAAAACCAAAAGGCGCTTGACCACGCCAAGTGAAAACCACACCAACAATGACATACATTTTTTGGTGAAGGTACCAAAGGAATTATTGCAGACAAGTAGCCAGGTATTTATTGCTGCCCTTGCAAAGAATGAAACAGAAGGTGACAGGCGGGTAGGAGGAACCCATCTGTTTCTTGCCCCAACCAATAAACACCCTGAAATCGCACCAATCTCCTGTCTCTCGCCAGCGTCTGTGGTGCCACCGACTGGCCAGTATCTGATCCTGGGCCAGCCACCCACTGAGCCGCCGGGGGAGCGGGGAGGGGTGACTGGACACTTCAGGTGCTACTCCAACACCGCTGAAAATGGGGGCACGCAAACAAGGAAGCTGCACAGGTGCAACTTAATTTCAAGGTCCGTTAGCAACACAAAGGGCAGGAACCGTACTTCCAAATGCAAGCCCTGGAACTCAGCAGGGCCATTTTCATTTTCAATTTTCACATGGTAAGAATAATAATTATAGTTCTTTTTATTGAGAAGAGCATCCAAGTTCAAAAACACTGCACTTAAAAACCCAAATACTAGAATATATTACATATTGCAGCTGATGTCTGGGAAATGTAAGACCCCATAATGTGCAATTTGGACTAAATATCAGAAAACAGCCATGTGAGTTGTGCCCGCACCTTCAATTTTGTGATTGTTTCCCAACTAGCCTTGCAATTGTAGGCGGCCATAAGGCACAGGAGATGTGAGCATTATGTGTGCCTTTCGGAGAACCGTCAGCGCTGGCCGGCCTTTCAACTGATGCTGAAGGACAACAGCTGGTTTCTGAGAGTCTAAATACGCCCATGCCCATGCCCACGCCGCCCCTTCCCCTCACCCACACGGTAGAGTTCTGCAGTGTGTGCCCATCCCCCCAGACGTTCCGATCTCAGGCTGTAACCATCACGCCCTCTGAAGGCTCCGCAGCACAGAATCACCCAGGCGAAGCTCAGTCATGCCAGAACAAACCAGAGTTCCTGATTCTTAGGTGGTGTCTGCAGAGGTCAGAGAAAGGGAAATGAGACGCCACGTCCCACTTCCAAGCAAATCCCCATGAGTATAAACAGAGAAGAGAAACTATAAAAAGAAGCCTCTTGCGGCAGTGAAACCAAACGCTGCCCCCTCCAGCATAATCCAGACCACGTGGGCAGCAGGCTTTCCTGAGTGCCGGCCACAGGCCGGCTGTGAACAGGACACTACGGGCAAAACAAGGGTGAACGAGGGCTGCCAGGCCTCAGACGTGACATTTCCATGATCACACACCCGTACTTTTTACCTTCCCCCGTGTTGGTCCGTGGCAAAGAGCCCAGACCCAATCCTGTTCACCTTGGTTCATAATCTAAGACCACGAATGTGGAGAAAAGCAGAATTGGTCTTTCTGGAAAACCAAGGTATCATTCTGAGAGCAGATAACTTTGACAAAGGCACACACAAACCCTTTCAGGGAGAAACCCTGGAGAAATGGTGACTGGCTGAAGAGTGAGGATTTTTAAAAACCTGTTTTTCTATTTATGTGATTCACCTTCTTCTTCAGTAAGATAAATAGAACTCAAAATGCAGTTCAATATGATTCTTGATTTTAATACAGTTCATTTCCGCCAAAATTTCTCTAAGGGGACATTCACTTTCACATAATAAAATAGCTCAAGAGTGATACATTTGGAAAGAAAAGCCACTCTGGATGAAAGCCACACGGAACCCAGCTGAACAGAAAAAGGAAAGGGATACACACACATATACACTAATGTCCTCCCCCACAAAAAAATAAATACATTTAAGAAGCCCTTCTTCAACTGCCACGGTACCCAACTGCAAGGCAGTTTATAGCCAACCAGAAGATATATCAGTAAGCAATAAGCCAACAGTAAGTAATCAGAAACATCATGAGCAGTAAGACAGCAGAGGAGGCAGTAAAGACACACCAGGGAGAACATTTCTCAGCAATTACCACATGTCTCAATGCAGAAAGGGAGAATGAACAACTTCACTCAACGAGGACTGGAACCCTATAAAAGTGAACTCCCTCACAGCTCCGGAGTTATTATCCCGGGTACGACAAGCGGGGTGTGAGGGCCACCCGTGTAGCCGAGGATCCGAGGGCACAAAAGCAGTGGGGGTCTGACCATGAACTAGGACCATGAACTTCATAAGTTCTTGTCCTCCTTTTTCACACCTTCGTCTGTAGACATGACGAATAAAAAACAAATGTTGGTTATTTGAAAAGATACACAGGACCTGCCGATTTCTGGGGGAAATAAAGAAGGTGGTCTTTCTTCTTCATGTCACATCTGTATCCACCGAGGCCAGAGTCCCGGGGAGGATGCGTGTGGGTACACACAGAGGGCAAGCTGCTGCTGCCGCTTTTGTTTTTTCTTTTCAAATACACAGGTCTACCAAAGAACAGACACTCAGACATAAGAAATGCTTCCTTATTAAACAGGTTACACCGTCAGCTCTTAGGAACCTCTAAGAAAATGAGAGCACATTCCCCCAGACTCATCCATTCGCAACAGTTTATAAACAGAAGCAAGAAAGATGGAGTACACTCACACGTCCCCTCCACTGACGTCGGGGGTTTTCAGCTGTGCTCAGGGAGTTCTAGAACCAAACACCCCCTCTCCCCAACACTTAAACTCATGAAAACCAGTGAGGCTGCTTACTTCTCAGGATGCTGAGATTAAGGAACACCATGTGGCTCCAAGAGTAAGCCACAGAACTGGTATCAGTGGGTGGTGGCTAGAGGTTCGTTTCCTCTCCTTCCTCCCAAATTTCTCTCTGCGTCACAATCCATTTCTACTCTGTATCACCTCCATGAGGGCCCTAGGCCTCAATCCTACCTACCTTCAAAGCCTACCTTCCTGCGAGAACCCTTGCACACTGACCCCCACTTACAGTGACCACAGTTTGTGTTATTTATGCCTGTGTATCCTTTTCCTAATTGGCCAGTAAAAATCTCAAAGGCTTGAAGGGTATCACCCACACGAAAAATACGAAGGAGCGAGAATGACGTTAATTATTAAAGGCATAACTCTAAATTTTCTCCCATTTCCCCAAAAGAAAAAACAACAACAAAATACTTTGATTCTTTAAATATTAGTGAAAACACAGGACCCTTAATCAAGCTAAAAGAGTCTCCCTCAGAGCCAACAGCTTAGAGAAAGTGCTCAAGAGGTAAGTGTTAACCGAGTAAACTCTCTCAGCACATGGCGTTGGGATCTCATGGGAAAGAAGTGGCCACCAACTCCCTCCCATGTCACTGCTGGAGTTCTACCCACCGTTCTCTACCCTGGGACACGGAGCCCAGTCTCCCCGAGAGCCTGGCTCGTACACAGGGCAGCAGAGGAGGTGATCCCTAAGGAGGGAGAGGACCGCGCAGACATGTCTACAAGGTTCCCGCAGACAGAGGCAGTGGGAGGCAACCCAGCCAGCGGTGTCCCACAGGCTCCGACTATGCGAAGGCAGAACTGCCCTGAAATCTGACAGGGGCTTTTCAATAACCTTTCCTACAGGGAGCTGGGTGGGGGTGGAGGAGAGGAGACTGGGGAGGCATGGGTGCCGTTTATTAATCAGCAGCTCAACACAGTGGGAGGTTTTCTTGGCTAATTACAGAAGCTGTGGGAACTGCAGGGAAGACAGGATTTACGGCCTGGATGACACTGGCTCTGTGTTGTAATTAAAAGTTATTTTTAAAACCTTTGTTTGGTTGGATACTTTGGATTATTAGAAATACATTCTGCAATTTAGAACTTGTTAAAGGCCAAAGAACATAACAAACAGGTAATACAACAAGCTTGCATAATGTAAAATGATTAAATGTTTTGACACCGGAGGTGGGGAAAGAGAGGAATCTCTCCCAATTATGTCTGTGAATGTCTGTAAGAAAGGGGGAAAGAGAAACAAGCCAACAAGTGTGCTAAACTAGGTTTTTTACATTTCAAAGGTAACCCGGCTACTTACTTTCTCCACTAACGAGAGTTCGGACACCAGCTACCAGGAGTCGAGAATGGGTATTCACAACCATTCGCCCAAAGCACCTGATCCTAATCCTCCAGCTCTTTGCTTTGTCCTGAGTCCCTAGAAAAGGACAGTGGTCACCCTAACGAGAGTGAGCCCTGACTCAACCGAAAGACCGAGGGGCCGGCTGAGGGCAGCAACGGGGGTCCACCACGAGCTGCGGACAAGACATGCTATGTGTGATTTGGGTTTTGTGTTTAAGCCACTTTTCTTCTCTCATGAAAAATCCCGGTTTCAAGAAGGGGCCCGATGACACGAACGCCCGTACAACTGCACGGCGGCATCCATGAGTGGCCAGGGCAGCCCGCGATCAGGCAGCAGACATTTACTTTAAGCGCCATTTCCAGAATTTATTTCTCCACATACACACAGGCGGCATTTTCTACCACGGTGGCTCTTCCTTAACCACAGGGAGGAGGGAATCCATCCTATGTAACAGACCTCTGAAACTGTCCGCTGGAAATGGGGAGGTGGAAGGACGTCCAACGGGCATGAGCTTCCCAGATAACCTCTGTATTTCACTCATCCATGCTATGAGTCTTCTCATTAAAAGTGAATTCCAGGAGCTCATTATATGAAATATGTCACAGGAAACACCACATATCACACATCATGATGAGACTGTAAAAGCATTCTAACATCTGTTATTCAAAAATAAATTTAAACTTAGCTTTGCAGGGGCCATACCAAGTTTATGGGATTTATCTTGTATCGAAAAGAACCACTGTGCTGCTTTATTCTTTTCCCAGTTCAAATCAGGGTCTGATTCCATGCCAGGCTGTAGAATTGCCCTTCTTACCTGCCACATTAATTTTCTCAAGTGCTACCAAGCTGGGAACAGCTGTGGTCGAGTTGGTCGAGTTTGTTCCTGTGCCATTGATTACAAGGTTGTCCACCTTCGACTCTAACTTGCCAATGCGCTGCAAAATATTATCCAACAACACGGCGAGAGTTTTCTTCAGATCTGTAAGGTAAAATGCACACAGTTTAAGAATTTTTTTGACCAATGCGTAGGTTCAATGCTCTCTTTCTCTCTGACATCAAGACCAAAAAGTGGCATGGCCATAAAGTACTGCCCCAAGCCTGCCTAACAAACCACACCTTAAACAGGACAGGGGCCACTTTCCAGTGGTCCAGAAAGTGCAAAACAATGCTGACTGTTCTGTGATCCAAGTTGGGCAATCAATGACGTAAGTTATTCCCAGCCACTGGCTGGTAGAGAAAACGACTTGGTACTCAGCATCCTGCCAAAGCACTCCACTGAATCCCTCCTCCTAGCATGACGGTTACTGATGCACAGAATGACAGCCCAAAGTGCAGCAAGGTCCTGAAGTAGGGTCTGGATCAAGTTTGTTGGTATGTTTGATGCTCTGTACTCCAGTATGTCCCAAGTGTTTTGCAAAGTCTTTATTTCTATTGTTAATTCTAACAAATATCTGACCGGGCCTATTTTTTTGCTCTTCAGTATGTATCTTACCTGCAGGCAGTAAGACAAGCTGGCCGTGGCATTACTGGAATAGGGCCAAAACCCTGATGATAACAGAGAAGGTGGAAGAGAACTACTGTTTTCTGAAGGCCTACCATGCGCCGTGCGTGTGCATTTCATATGTACAGCTATAATATATGAAATCATGATGTGCCCTATTCTCCATGAGACAGGTATGACTTCATTTTACAGGTGGGAAAACTGAGTTTCACGCACATGAAGTAATGTGTTTGTGGTTGCAGAGATAACTCAGATCTGATTCCCTGATTCTGCACTGGGACCAGTCCAAAGTCAAGAGCCCAGGTAGAAAAAGAAAACCAAGTATGAAACTCGGTGTCTTTCATCCATAGCATAGTGGTTAGATACCCAGATTTTGGAGCCAACTTCCTAGGTTTGAGTCCTCGCTCTCCATTCCTATTTCCGTATCTGTAAAAGGGTGATAATAGTAAGCCTGCCTCTTTGAAGTAGTTATGAGGGTCTAATAAGTTAACATTTATAAAATGTTTTAAGCTCTTCCTGGCACATAATAGGCACTACATAACTGCCTGTTAACTACATAAATAAAAATAAAACCGTGCTCTGCAATATGCCTTCACCTCTCCTGAAGAAAGCTCCCCTTGGGTGACGCAAAGCGTTACCACTGTCCAGATCGGAGCTCACCCTCCTGCAGGGCCGTAGTCCCCTCGGCATGACCCACAGCTGTCCCAGGCACACCTAGTGGCACAGTTGGCGGCAGTCAGCCCCCAGCTCTGCCTTCACCCTGAGTCTAGGGCAGCGTTGGCCGCTCCAGTGTTCTGAAGACGGCCAGAGGCCAGCCGCACAGGCGGGGCCACGGGGCCACCGAGACAGGGAGGGAACTGCTCCTCAGACGACAGACACCCAGCCTCTTGGCCTGCACTACCGACCAGCGAGTCCCCGTGTAAAAATGGCATTTAACTGCTACCTGCGCGCCAGCCGGGCAGGGAAGCCCGGCCCTGCAGTCTGGGCGAGCTCCAGGTTTCTCAGCTTCAGCTGTATCGACCCTTCGGACCAGATCACTCTGTTGTGTGGGGCTGTCCTGTGACCTGTAGGGTCTTTGGGGCATCCCTGGGCTCAGCCACTACGTGATGGGAGCCATACCTCCACTGTGACAACCAAAACTGTCTCCAGGCATTGCCAAAATCCCTTGGGGGGGCAAAACTTCGCCCATTTGAGAACCACTGAATTAGGCACATTCTTTTTTTTTTCTTTTTATCCTCACCTGAGGACATTTTCCCATTTTTTGTTCAGATAGAGTGGGAGGGAGGGAGGGAGGGAGAGAGGGGGGGGGAGAGAGAGAGAGAGAGAGAGAGAGAGAGAGAGAGAGAGAGAGAGAGAGAAACATCGATGTGAAGGGACACATCGAGTGGCTGCCACCCGCACGACCAACCAGGGCCAGGGACAAACTGCAACCGAGGTACATGCCCTTAGCGGGAACCGAACCCGGGTCTCTCCGGACCGCAGGCCGACGCTCTAACCGCTGAGCCCAACCGGCCAGCGCATGATTTAGGCACATTCTCTCACCCTCTTCTTCCCCACTGCCCGTGTGGAGAGTCCGAGGCAGCGCCGACAGAGGCTACGTGAACGGAAACGCGCGAAGCTGCTCCCTGAGCTCGTGTCACGGTGACGCCCCCTCACTGAGGCCCGGGGCGCTGCCACAGGACCGCGGGAAGGCCAGGAGGGCAGTCTGCCTGCCTGCCCGTGAGAGCTGATGCCACGCAAGGGCTGCGGACTTGTACAGCGATGGCAGGCAGCAGGACCCCCGGCCAGAGCTCTGGCCACCGTGCGTGGAGCACACCTCCAGGAGGGTACGAAGCTGTCACTTCAACACTGCAAAGAGATTCCTCCTCGATTAAAATACAGCCCACCACCAAGTGTGACCTATTTCTTGCTGACCTCCCCTTAGCAGCAGCTGACTTTCTGTGACTCTGACATGGTCTAAATAAGGGGATCTGTGATGACGAGATAGGTGCCACCCCAATACCACTGCTCACTGCTGCCACCACGACCCCCACTGGGCCTTCTGTGTGCCAGCCACTCCCCTCAGCACTTCTCAGGGAACAGCCCTCGATCCTGCCAGAAGGACAGTCAGCGCACTGTGGTTCCCACGCCTGTTTTCTAGACAAATAAACCACAGCTCAGGGAGGGTGAGGAATCTGTTCCAGGTGACTGCAGACCCAGGGCTCATACCTACAGTCTGGGTCCAGAGCCAAAGGCTCCTATCTACCATGTGACACTGCATCTAAAGAACCACCATGCAGCCCTGGCTGGTGTGGCTCAGTGGTTAGAACGTCGACCTGTGGTCCAGAGAGACCCGGGTTCAGTTCCCGCTAAGGGCATGTACCTCGTTGCAGTTTGTCCCCGGCCCTGGTTGGTCGTGCGGATGGCAGCCACTCGATGTGCCTCTCTCACATCGATGTTTTTCTCTCCCTCCCTCCCGCTCTATCTGAAGATAAATGCAAAAATGTCCTCAGGTGAGGAGAATAAAAAAGAACCACCATGCACCTGCCGGCTGCTAAGCACCTCTGACCTGTGCTTCTGCACACACTTACCGGGGACTGACCTCTGGGCTTCGGCCAACTGCCCTCAACAAGCGCTGATGCCACTGTTTATTAAGCAACCCCAACACTAACAGTAATTTAAAATCTGCCTTTCCATACCTTCTGCCTTACAATGAAAATGAAAACCTTGGACTCTCTAGGTACGTCACCTGGGTAGGCATTTTTCTCTCCCAATATGAAAGGAAAAAAAGTTCCCTTTCGACTCAAGCAGCTGTTCGAGTCATTATCACAATGCAGTCTAACACAAGAAAAAGATACTGCCAATAAAACACACCAGGGCCAAGTGATGCCAAGCCCATCGGCATCCGTACCAAGGGGCACACAGCCTGGCACACAACAGCACTCAGGAAGTTTGTATTGCAAAGTGCATGAAGGTATGAACCAACAAATAAATGAACAACAGTCTTCCCACAAATAAGGGAACACAAATTATACCTTTCTAGGTGGTGAAATGATTTCTTATCTTTGTATTTCACAGTTAAATGTACAAAAAGCTGTTAAGGGTTTTATTGCGATTCTAAGCTGATGCCAGAGTGCTTTTGTTTGTGTTTTAGTCTTAATGATAACCATTTATCCAATAGGACTGTACACCCAAGAATAATTTCTACAGAGTTTAATAAAGAAATGAGGGTGAAAATATTCCTCCAAATTCCTGTATAGTATTTTTTATATTTATCACTATGTTTTACACTTATTATAATAGTAAAATGTGTCCTCAGCAGGATTATAATTTTCAATTACTGACAAGCTTTTAAAATTTTGTTTGTGCTTGGAAGCCTTAGCAATAAAAATGTAATCCCAACGTTCCTAACAAAATTTCGTGTCCCTAAGAATTACTGCACATGACGAAGATGAGATCAAAGTCATTGAAAATGCCCCTTTGGGGACAGTAAGCTTTGGTTTCTGTCATGCTAGACAGGGTGAGATGTGCACCATCTCAGAACAGGTGTGCTGACAGCTTCCGCAAGTCTCCCCTCCAGAAAGCCCCGACACGGGGAAGAAGGGCTGGAGGATGCTGCCACGCCCCTGAGCAGGACAGCCCAGGAGATGCACGGCCAAAGGTCCTTTCCTCCACAGCCGGAGGAAAGGAGACGGGATCCCAGTGGGAAAAGGGGTCGTGCTAGTGGAAAAGGTTTATAAGTCTATTAGCTGAAGCTGTGAGAATGGGTGGTGAACCCTGACTTCCAAGATCATGAAGTGTATCGATATTTGAGAGATGATCAAGGCCTGTGCTCGGGGCCTACGACGTTCCAGCCCACTCCCCTGGAACGGGCTTCGAAGGCAGTGGTCTCCAGCCTGCGGCCCCTCAGGCTGTGGAGTCTGAACCCCCAAGCCCATCCTCAGGGCACGCAGAGGGAATCCGAAGAGCCCACATGTCAGGGATTCTGGTCAGAGACATGGTTGAGAACTAAGCTCAGAGTGCGGCCACCAAGATTCACTGGCACAGAACTGTGCAGTGAGCAGGGACTTCGCCTGAACTGGCAGAAGTCACGTACACCTGGGCTTGCTCCAGTGACAATCCCTGTGCACCATGGCCGCCCCAAGAGGCCGTGTGAGCAACAGAGCGGCTCCACTCTGGGGCCCCAGGGAAACCAGCGAAGAGAGGGTGTTAATGAGAAAGGAAGGTGATAATGAAAAAATAATTAACCCCAACCTCTCATTCCCATCGACCGCCAGGCATGTCAAGTTTCATCAGTTACATATTTTTAAATTAATTTTACAGCGACCTTTCCAGAGAAAGAGAATGCAGTTGTAGTAATGACCAACACACCCGCCATTCATTATGTACAAGGACATTCAAAGCAGTTAGCTATAAAAGAGAACAGTGTTATTTATTATAGATAAGAGCTGGAAACTTCCCAAATACCCAACCAAAACATAAAATTACACTATGTCCCT